TGTTCTCTGTCATATTTGGAAGTTAAAAAAAGTTGATCTAAACAAAAATAGTGAATATTAAAGACTGGAAAGGGTTGGGAGAGGCTAGAGGATGTTTGGGTAGTAGGTACCTAAATCAGAGTTATTCCTATGTTACACAGTCCAATGGGGTGAAGTCAGTTCACAATAATCTATTACATATTTTCTAAGCAAATAGAATAGAAGGGCATGAAAATTTCAATCATAAAATACTGGTAAGGAGAGGGAAACATTATTTACCTGAATTTCATTGGTACACATTATATATATTTATTGAAATATCACACTGTACCCCTTAAATATGTACTATTATTGTTAATAAATTTTTTGAAGTGTTTAAAGAAGTAGAAATGCCAACTAACTGATTTGGTCTTTACACATTGAATGCATCTGTTTACTTATCATGCTGTACCTATAAGTAGGTACCATTAAAATTTTTAAAAAGAAATATTTAAGAAATTATAGATTTGCAAATGGTTACCTCTAGGAGTCATCAAAAATAAACTATTAATGTTATGAAACAAAATGTCCTACACTGGTATAGTTTTAAAATATATCATTTTTAATGTGTATTATCTCATTGTGTCTTCAGATTATCTTTGTATGGTAGGTAGGGAAAGTACTGTTATCTCATTTGTTCATGAAGAAATAGATCTAGTCCAGTGATGTCTCTCTGTGAGCTCTGGGACTTACTCAATTTCCTTGTAAATAACTTAGAGTAATAGCAATATCTAAAAATTTTTCTAGCTGCCATTTATTTCGAGATAAAAGACAATAGTACTCATCCACTTAATACCATAGAGTGGTTACCAGTCAAGGGCCCCATCAGCCAATGCTACCCCAGAACAATTAGGAAAAAATAGCTCTCTTTAAAATAAAGACTCTGCTCTCATGGGCAATGATGCTGGCCTGACTGTGGTCTTGAGGTATGTGTTGTTCAGTCTGCACAAAGCAAAGGGTTCTAAGCATTCAGTGCCAGATGTCTGGCACCAGATAGACAGAGCTGAGAGAAGAATGGGTATGTTCTGAAACGGTTTGGAGTGGTTGCAGGTGAGGGAGAATCAAACCCCATGCATGTCCATCTCTCTGTCCTGATGATGTGTCACCAACTAGAAATCAGCTACAAGTCTGAGACATATGATCTGAAGACAGAGCTTATGAAACAACTGTCTTTTGTTTCAAATAGAGACCTGAGAACTAGAAAAGTATTAAAAAACACAACACAATTTTCTCAAGTTTGATATTCATTTGTGTGGGCTATGCATTCTGGATGCAGAGATAGAGATGGCAGAGAGGAGCCCATAACCGAAAGGGGTAGATGAATAAACAAACAAAAACAATGCCATAGGACTGTCTTCAAAAGTGTGGCAGTAGGAGTGATGACCTGGTCGAAGGGTTGGGGAAGGCTTCTTGGAGGAGGTGCTGCTTCAGGGGGCAGAAAGAAAAAAATTATTCTAGACAAAATGAATAGAGTAGGCAAAAGTGTAGGGACAAGAAAAGTGTGAATGATTTTTGGAAAGAGAGGAGTAGTCCATAAAATATGTGCAAAAATACAATGTAAAATGAAGAAGAATGCACATATAAATTAAGAGAATTCCTAATAAAATGTTTCCATACTCAAAAGGCTGCCTCACATGCCCCACTCTGGAGTACAGCTTTAGAAACATGTCTCAATCTGTCATGTGCACAGAATCTGAATAGGAGTCTTGTTACCACGCAGTCTGATTAAGTAGACCTGGGGAGGGACTTGATAGTCTGTATGTCTAATATGCTCTTAAGGAATGCTGACGCTGGTGATCTGTAGACCACTCAGTGAATGTGTAGAACAAGCAGAAGAATGAAAAATGAAAATACCAGTCATCATTTAGAGGCTACTGGTGTGTGCATGCTTCTTATCCAGCACCTGTGTGTGTGTGTGTGTGTGTGTGTGTGTGTGTGAAACTATTTCACTCCCCAAATGGCTGCAAGAGCCAGGTCTGGGCCAGGCCAAAGCCAAGAGCTAGGAGCTCCCATGTGGATGGCAGGAGCCCACATACTTGGGCCATCTTCTGATGCCTTCCCAGGTGCAGTAGCAGGAAGCTGGATAGGAAGCATGTAATAGCCAGAACTTGAACCAGCGCTCAGATATGGAATGCTGATGTCTCAAGCTGAGGATTAACCCTCTGCACCACGACGCTGGCTCCAGTAATGAATATTTTTATGAATCTTGATGTGAATGGAAGGGGAGAGGGAGTGGGAAAGGGGAGGGTTGTGGGTGGGAGGGACGGTATGGGGGGGAAGCCATTGTAATCCATAAGTCGTACTTTGGAAATTTACATTCATTAAATAAAAGTTAAAAAAATGAATATTTTTAAAGAGAACAGTGATAAGATCATGTCTAATGTGTGATGACAATGTAAGAGTGGCTGAGAATGGGTGGGACAGGACTAAAGGATGGGAGTCTTCTACCAGAATCTGGGGACTTGCAGTCAGAGCCTGATCCTAACCAGTGGCAGCAGGGATCGGGGAGAGAGTGGATTCCTGAGATACTCAGGGTAGCTCACACAGGACATTGCTGGTGTCAAGGGGCTGTGAGGCAGAGCCAGAGTGGGGAGGAGAGAATGAATGACACCTAAGGATCAGCCATGAAGAACGAGGTCCGGCGCTGCCATGATGAGATATGGTATGCAGACAAAGGACGCAGTCAGAGCCTAGAAGGCAACTGTTTCAGAACCCAGGTCTGGGAGAGCTGGACACAGCGCAGAGCTGTGAAGGTGAAGGTGAAGTCACATTATGAAGGAAGGAGAGACATGAATGGAGGACTTGATTAGGGAACAGCTACAGGTAGGAGGTGGTTATCAGGCAGTGTGATAGCAACTGGAAGCCATTCAAGAATTAAGTTATGTTAATGCCTGCCACTTAGAAACATGGATAGATTTAATCATGCAAGATGATTTTAGTGGGACTAGGTTCAGATGCATTATGGATGCAGGGCCATATATAGCAGGTTAAGGAGAATGTGTAAGGCAGAATAATAACCTGCCTTGTCCCCATCAGACATGTGCCTGCCCCTAATTCCTAGAACTTGTGAATATGTTATTCTGTGTGGCAAAAAGGACTGTGAAGTTGTGACAGAAAGTGTAGACCTTGCGATGGGAAGATCAGCCTAGATTATCTGGGTAGGCCTAATCTCATGCATCCTCATAATCATAGAAAAGGTTGAAAGAGTGAGTCATATTTCATGTCGCCAGTAGGCTGATGATGGACTGAGTGATAAATTTGAAGATGGTGGAAGAGGGCCAAAGACCAGGGAATGTAGTGGCCTCCATACACTGGGGAAAGTTCTCAGTTACTAGCCAGGAAGAAAATAAGAATCTTGTCCTATAACTAAGAAATTCTGCCCATCGCCTGAATGAGGAGGAAAGGGGTTTTCTTCCAGGGCCCTCAGGATGGAGTGCAGCCTGCCCACCCCTTGACTTCAGTCTGCAGGGACTCACAGCACACTTCAGACCTACAACTTGGTAACATAATAAATTGATGATTAACCACTCAGTTGGTGGTAATTTGTTACAGCAGCTCTAGGAAACAAACACAGATTCGTTAAGAATTAAGAGTGATGATGGCCGGCTCCGCGGCTCACTAGGCTAATCCTCCGCCTTGCGGCGCCAGCACACCGGGTTCTACTCCTGGTCGGGGTGCCAGATTCTGTCCTGGTTGCCCCTGTTCCAGGCCAGCTCTCTGCTGTGGCCAGGGAGTGCAGTGGAGGATGGCCCAAGTGCTTGGGCCCTGCACCCCATGGGAGACCAGGATAAGTACCTGGCTCCTGGCTCCTGCCATCGGATCAGCGCGGTGCGCCAGCAGCAGCGCGCCGGCCGCGGCGGCCATTGGAGGGTGAACCAACGGCAAAGGAAGACCTTTCTCTCTGTCTCTCTCTCACACTGTCCACTCTGCCTGTCAAAAAAAAAAAAAAAGAGTGATGACAACAATGAATAAGTAAACTACTGTTTCCTGATGTTTGACAGTTAAAAGTACAAGGTTCCAAAACTTGGAAACTGGAAAAATTTGAGGATCACTTGTGTTGGAGTGTGACAATATGGTTTGGATGCTGGATGCTATGTTCTTTTAGCTCTTCACCTGCCTAAGGCTGTTTCATATGAAAGATTACTGGGCTTATTGCGGAGACTGTAATAGATCTACTGCCATCCCTCACCTTTGGGGTTGATAGATTGATTTTATCTTTTCAGGGCATTTTTAGATTCACTGCCAAACTGAGCAGAATATACAGAGATGTCAAAGGTTTAAGTATTCATTTATTTGAAAGGCAGAGTTACAGAGAAGCAGAGGCAGAGAGAGAGAGGTCCACTGCCCAAATGGCCACAATGGCCGGAGTTGGGCCAATCCGAAGCCAGGAGCCAGGAGCCAGGAGCTTCCTCCTGGTCTCCCACACAGGTGCAGAGGCCTAAGGACTTGGGCCATCTTCTACTGCTTTCCCAGGCCATAGCCGAGAGTTGGATCAGAAGTGGAACAGCCAGGACTCGAACTGGTGCCCATATGGGATGCTTGCACTGCAGACAGCAGCTTTACCTGCAACACCACAGAGCCAGCCCTGAGAAATGTCTAACTGATCTCCGCTCCACCACTGCGTGCCTTGCTATCAACACCCTTCAGAGGAGCAGTTCATTTGCAATCAAACCTACATGGACACATCATTATCATCCAAAGCCCCTTGTTTATATTAGGGCTCACTTTTGGTGTAGTTAAGTCTTTTAAAATAAGTGCCAGCACCTGTGAGTGCTCCGTTTCCTGTCACACTGATTTCCCTGCTGTAGTAACTCCACAGCCTATTGGAGTTTGCACCACTGCCTGATAGCAGTGTGCCCAGACAGATGAAGGTACCTTTCAGGTTCGCTGCTCCACCTCCTCCGATGTCTCGCGCTCAGCAGTCCAGCTATTATAATAAGTGCTTAATGTGTGCTCTCACATTGTTGTGGTATCATTTGTAGGATCTCATGCTGGGCTGACACAAGTCGGAGACAGCAAACGCATTAAAGGCTCATCGTTATCAGCTTGCTGAAGATTCGGTTGATGGAATGGTGGTAAACCTCAGACGGTCCTCGGAGACATAACCCTATTTGTGCTCTCTCCTCATCCTGTCCCTTCCCTTCATGTTCTGTCCTTCATAAATGCTGCTTGTCTGTTATGTGACGCGAATGTGTAGCCTGGCTGCTTTGCCAGTCTGGCCCATTCCCTGGGAACGTAAAAATGTAAAAATACCAACTGGTGAAAATATTGTTACTGGTGTTCAAATGTGGAGGGGTTTGGGACACTGCAGTAATGGATCTAGGGTATTTTAAAATGTCTTTTTAATAATTATATGCATTTCAACATTCTTGTAAGTTTCTTGTAATATGATGATCATTCTAACAGTCCTCTTTCAGATGTGGAAATTGCAAGAAGCAAAATATACACCTGTTTAATATATTAAGTATGCTGTAAGTATAGATTTCAATGCCACACCATAGATTTTTAATTTTTTTATTTATCTATTTGAGAAGCAGAGAGAGGCAGAGTCAGAGAAATTTAGAGACAGAGGTGGGGGCATGAGTGTGGGAAAAGAGGAGGAGCTCTGATTTGTTGGTTCATTCTCCAAATGCCTGTGATGGCAGAAGCAGGATGGGGGTTGGTGAAACCAGGAGCTGGGAATTCTATCCAGGTCTCTCACATGGGTGGCAGGAACCCAACTGCTTGAGCCACTACCACTGCCTTCCAGGGTCTCAGTTAGCAAGTAGCTGGAATCTGGAGGTAGTGTTGGAGACTAAACCCACATGCTCTGATATTGATGTGGGCATCTTAATTATTAGGCCAACTGCCTACCCCACATACCATTGATGTCTTAATACGGTAAAGCTCTATAAATCTAAGCAAGTTCTACCTTTACTTTTTCTAAAAGTAAAGTAAAATATAAATATTTATTTACATTTTCCATCTTTCATTTGGAACTATTATAAAGCATTTCTTTATGGTTATTCAATTCAATTATTAGGCCTATCACAGAGTCCTAGACACTGGACTAATAATAATACTAATAACCCTAATTATGATTATATTGTAATTGTATGTTTAATTCTGATGGCTCAGTTCTCTCTCAGGTACTCAGGTACTCTGAGGGGAATGTTGAGCAGGTATCCATAGACACATACATGGTTTAATGGGTCATGGACATGGACATATGTATGATTTAATGGGATATGGACCTGGATACATACAGTACCCACACAGACCCAGAGTTCAGTCTGGAGCCTTAGCCCCAAAGTCATTCTCTTTATCCTAAGGGTAAATTATGAAGAAAAGAGAGTTGGAGAAGGTCGCCATCTTTGAGTTGTTTCTCTATCAAGTTGTGCTGTGTGTGGATACACATTCATCCTATTTTAGCTCTCCTGAATCTCCTTATCCTAGGCACTGGCTGGGCCACTGTTTCTTCTGCACGTCTAGCAATACAAGTTAACAACAATTCCCTTCCTGTATTTATTTACTCTAAATCTTTGAGACCAAATCCTATGAACCTGTGGTCCTATAAATTGTCTTCATGCTACAACACTAATACACCACCCCCTTGTTTCTCATCACCATCGTGGAATTCCTTGATGACTTTCTGATGTTTGAGGCCTGGGAAATTTATTCATGCAATGATTCAGCAACTAGCATTTATTAGCTACTGTGAAGCAGGAATTTTGCCAGACAATGAAGATATTTAGTTGAGTAAGACACTGTTTCTGCACTCAAAAAGTCAACCATCTGTGATTTTTTGAAAAAAAAAATTCTTTGAGAGGAAGAGAGAAAGGAGAGAGAGAGAGAGAGAGAGAGAGAGAGAGAGAGAGAGAGAGATTGAGGCTTGTAAATGCCTAGGGTTGACTAGGTCAAAGTTGGGAACTGGGAACTCAATCTAGGCCTCTCAGGTGGGTGGCAGGGACTCAGTAACTTGAGCCACTGCTTGCTGCCTCCCAGGTCTACCTTGGCAGAAAGCTGGAATTGGGTATTGAACTGAAGCCAGAGCAGGACATTGAACCCAGGTACTCCAAAATGTAATGTAAGTAATGTGATTTATGTCTTAACACTAGACTGGAGCTTCCAACCCATACTCAGACTTGTTCGTAATTCATATTTTCCTGAGTTTGAGCCATTTGGTTGATGTGCCCCGAATGTCTTATTGGACAGAATATCCTAGAGGAGTGGCTGATGCAAGCTGGAGTCAGGTTGGGTGTTTGGGTTCACATTTACCTTCTTCTGATCATCAGAGGACATCCTGGATGTAGTTAGAATCCCCAGCTAGAGGAATGCCCCTGCTCACACCTCTTGACCTACAGGCACCATACTGACTTCTGTGAGGACCTGTTCCTGTGAGGACCTGTAGCAGATCTGATGGATGCTTGAGTATCAGACAAGCTGTGACCTGTGGCACTGCTATCACAGTTAGGGGTAGCCACAGCCAGATATCTGTCCTTAAATTGTGTCAGGTTTGAACATTTTCAGGATTAAAGCATCCACATTTGCTTTGTATGCTATTTGTGTACTCAAGTCCCCTCTTATTTGTAATATTGCTTTCTGTAGTCTCAATTACCTCTGATCAACACCATTCCAAAAATACTAAATGGAAAATTCCAGAAATAGACCATTCATGTTTGAAATGAATTTCATTTTAGTATATTGTTTAAACTGTTTTCTATTATTATTGGTTTTCATTACCATCTTTATTGTGTTCAATTTGTGAATTAAACTTTATCACAAGTATGTATATAAAGGAAAAATCATGGCATATTTAGGGTTTTGTACTATCCATGGTTTCAGGCATCCTGTAGAGGTCTTGGGATATATCCCCATGGATAAGGAGGGACTGCTTTGTACTAAATTCAACACTAGCAAATACCAGTTTGGATAACATACTAATTTAAATAATTCTTTTCTTTAGTGTCTGTAACACTGTGTCAATGACACAAAAGCTATAAATGTAGTATGTAACATACATACTGTACACATACACACAAGCAGAAATGCTTCAAAAATGTAATGCAAAATGAAATTAAAAGATAAGTCTATCTGATGTAAAAAACATTTGGAATTCATGCATATGTTTTTCATGATAGGCATTTTCCATAAGCTTTTTTTTTTTAAAAAGATTTATGTATTTATCTGAAAGGCAGAGTGACAGAGGGAGACACACATAACACACAGGCATACATATACACATGAGAGAGAGAGAGAGAGAGAGAGAGAGAGAGAGAGAGAGAGAATCTCCAATCTGTTGGTTCACTCCCTGGCCTAGGCCAGGTCAAAGCCAGGAGCCTTGAACTCCATCCAGGTCTCCACATGAGTGGCAGAAACCCAAGTTCTTGGACTGTCATGTGCTATCTCCCAGGCACATTAGAAGGATGGGAAGTACAGAGTAGCTGGAACTTGAACCAGGCGTTTTGATATGGGATATGGCTGTAGTGAGCCACAGATTAACCTGCTGTGCTACAATTCCCACTCCTCCATGCACTTTTTGAAGTGCACCCCCCATACACATATACGTGTATTGATACAACTTTTCTATTTGTCAACCTAATGGGATTATTACAGCACATCAGCCCTAAGGGAAGGAAGGAGTATGTGTGGGAGTTTTCAGGCTATCGCGTCTATAGCTGAGCACAGATAGTTTCATAGAACAATTGGTGATGAAGAAGAAAGGAGAGAAGTTGTAGAGGAAGAGAAGTCGGGAGATGTGCAGGAAAGTCTGTTGAGTTTGCAAGTTCCGTGGTGTCCATTGTGCAAGGGCTGACTTCCGGGGCTGCGTAGGTGAACAAATGCCCAGCGAGCTGGTGCTGGGGGTTGGCCACATATGCGGAAGTGTAACAGCTATGGATGTGTGGTTTGGGCAAAGGTGTCTGATTTGCCCTCTTTTCAATTTTCAATCATCTCATCCTTAGTCTAGGCAGAGCGACGACGAGTGGCTTTCATTCAACTTGTGCCTCAAGAGCACTTCAGGGACTGGGGAGCCATTTCTTACCGATTTCCCTTTCGAGAGGCTGGATCCCCACCCGAGCAGGCCTGGCTGGCCACCGTTAGCCTCAGGGCAGCGAGGAGGCCAGATTTCAGATCCTCTGGGCCTTCATGCACAGGAAGCCTTCCTCTTTCATGTCCAGTGGGCACAGACCCCTTCACGGGGAGATCTCTGACTACTTCCTCCTCTGTCTGAAGCTTTCTTGGCACCACACGCTTCCTGGGGTGGCTGACATCACCCTGTGTGGAGGAGGATTGGCCTGGCTTCTGAAAACATGTGTGCAATTGAGTGCATTCTATTAAGAAAGAGGGGAAAAAAATCAAACCCCAAACAAATAAGCAGACACACACACCATCCATGGCCATTGCTCAGCACTGAGAACTGGCAGCTCTGTGCCTGGCAGGAGGGCAGGAGGTGACTCTGAGAGGCATTTCTGAGGTGAACGCTATGGTTGGGGTGAGGGGACTGATGTGGTCCCAAGGAGACGGATAGCACTGCCCGTCCAACAAATCCCATGACTCTGAAAGAGATGTCACCACAGAGCCTAACAACTGGGAATCTCAGCCCCAAACAAAACCACAGCACCAAGATGTGGAAATGAGAGAAAAGCTAAGGGCTGAGTAAAATATTAAAGATTGCTATTGGTTTAAAAAAAAAAGAAAACACAGCTCTGTGACCACCACCTGAGCCACACAGGCTTGCGTAGGAGCTAAGGGACCCCTCCACCCCCTGCACACATGCACACACACTCACACACACACACACACACACACACACACACCAGTCAGACCCAGTCCGCCCTCAGCAGTGTTACAGCAGTCTCTTTCTGCGCACATTGCAGAGCCCAACATTCTTCAGGCTGGAAAACTTTCCTCACGTCTAACCTGAGGCCCTCATGCTGCAGCTGAAATTCCTTCCTTCCTGGAAAAGGACCTGTCACCCTTTCCTCCTCCAGGATCCTTCAGACTTGTGTTGACGTGAACAACAAATCCTGTTTTCTCCTCGGTTATTCAAGGAGAATCTCCGTATCTGTAACTTCTGGAGAACCTCTGTCAGATGCTGGTGCTCAGGGGACCCGGCGCAGGCACCCCTGTTCTGGGTTGTCAAGGAAAATCCTCTGGCCTGGATTCTTGGTTTCCAAACAGAATGCTGCACACTGTTTAAAGAGTATTTTGTTTTCCTTTTCTGGAACCCATTGTGTGTTGCGTCAGAGACAATGAGCGGTTCACACAGCTGCAGTTATCCAAGTATTAAACTCCCCATGCTGTCCGAGGGCACAGTCCCACTGCCTGCATGGGGTGTGGGGGTCTGGGTGGACTGTGCAGGAGTGTGGCTGGGGGGCCAGGGTCCCGATTCTGTCCTCCCTCCCCGCTGCGACTCACACACTGTGGAACTGAGTAACTGTTGGCAAGGTCTGGGCCACAGTAAGCCAGACTGGGCGGGGAGAGGATTCCATTATTATAACACAATGCCATAATAGGATAGGACATTCCTTTCATATTCTTACACAACAGGAATCTTTAAACTCCACTGTTACTCTGAAAGGGGAGGCAAAATGCACCCAGCGCTTTGTTGTGTTTTTGCCACCAAAGTTACCTTATTCATCGTGGGGGTTGTGTGGGCCTCAGCCTCCTGAGCTTGGTTTTCGCAGCTTCTGGAAAGGGTTGGGCAACACCTGAGGACAATCGCGGCGCTCACTCACCCCAGCCCTGCTGGGAGCTTCTGCTGGAGCCCTTTGCTGCGGCGTGGCTCCGAACCTGGCAGCCGGGGCTGCTCTTGGGAAGCTGGCCCTTTGGGGGCACTGTGCTGGTTCTTACCAGATGGCCTTTGGGTGTGGAGTCAGTGCACAAGAGGCCTCCTCAGGGCACTGGGGTTCTCCAGTCGTGCAGAGCCGACGGGGACACACTGGTCTCTGAATGAGACCACCGCCAACCCCACTGCCCTTCCCTGCAGAGTGGGCGTGAGGCTCAGCCAGCACTGGGGAAGGCCTAGCAGAGGCCTCTGCATCCCTTGCCAATGCTGTTGACAGGCCGACTCCCTGACCAGGCGTGGGTGCTGAGGCTCAGGAACCTGGATGCTCTTTCTATTTGGCCATGACCTTAGGCTTTAATTTCCTACCACAGAGTCTGGGTGGAGAATCACTGGGCAGGGGCTCAGCTAGGAGGCTGACGTGGAGCGAATACCAGCAGACATGGGGCATTTTCTTTATAAAAGTGTAGCAAATGAGTTTAACAGTCTTTGTGACCTGGTCCATCCCAAATCCCAATCTCTGACGTTGATGGTGATAGAGATCGGAATATAATGAAGGAAACCCAACAAACTCTGCAGCGTTCCAATATTCCATTGATAGTAATTTAAACTCTCATCCTTAATTTGTTCTTATACTTGCTCCTGTAGCATTTGTTTATTTAGACTACTGGGCAAGAGCCCTTCCTAAAAATCTTTGTAAATTCTTAAGTGCAAACAAGTAGCATTCTCCATGCCACCCAGCACTCTGCAAGGTTGGGCTGTCTGGGCAGTGTTGCAGACATTTTAATAACCCCTTGTGGGCAAATGATGACACTTTTTCTTATTTTCCAGTAGGCTTCTATTTGTTCTTTGAATGAGACTCCATATGTAAATGGATGATTATTCTCTGAATTTCTTCTGTGCAAGTTGAGCACCAGAATCTCCCATATTATGTGTACAGAATCTGGGCCTGAATTTCAACCGTGAATATCAATGAAGCAAAGCAATAAAAATCCATAAAAAATTAACATTGCTAAAGAGGACTTCAAACCTCTCGGTGCTACAGCTCTGAGGTCAGTGGTAAGTGACCATGGTTTAATGAAGTGGGGCTCCCTCTGATTAGGGAGAAGTGGGCATGGCATCTTCTGCGGCATAAATAGCCTGCCTCTGAGCATGCCAAGCAGTTGCTTTCAGAGGCTGAATTTTCTCCCAGCCTGGGTGAGTTGGCAGTGGACAGGAGAGGACATTCCAGTGAAACCGGGCCATCGGGAGCTGAAGACAAAGGCAGCTGATTCAAGTGCGCAAAATTGGAGTTTCTCTAATCAAATATATTAAATTCACCATTATTCTTGATTGTTTTAATGGGAAGAAAGGGCAGCTGTGCCCTTCATTTTCTAAGCATTTTATTTAGTGCTGAGGAGTTGGAGAAAGGGAGGGGAGAGACAGTCGGGTGGGAGGGGGGAGTAGAAAGGGCTAAGACAGCTACAGGAAGCTAATGCATTTTGTCTTAAAAGTAAGATGATTTTGCACGCAGCTCAGAACCACATGGAGAGTTCCTAGAGCTGTCACTCATGGAGAGAAAAAAAAAAGATAGCTGGTTTCTAAAGCACTTTGACATAGGAGTAGAAAAGCAGCCAACGAGCAGACTGGGGGCATGGGATACTCAAGCCAGGAACCCCCAGTGCCCAGTGTTGGACAGCTTTGCTTCACTGCCTACATGGAAACCTGCTTGTGAGCGACCCCCCCCTGCCCACCCCTCTGCCTCCAACCCTCCATACTGGTGCTTTGTAGAAAGCATTTAAATTTCAAGACATTTGGGGCAATTCATCTCCACTCCTTTTGTAACCTTCCAGCTTCACCATCTGAGCAAATGCATTCCAAATTCTAGTGAAGAAACCGTCGACTCAAGCTATTATTATTATTTTTTAAAATAGTTTCGCAGACGGTCCTGTCCAAGGGTAACGCTTCCTGCCCAGAGTGCAGGACTACAATGTCTTGGTATGCACCTCCAGCATCAAAGGCGAGCTGGGGTGCATGATGTCACTTTCTCCGTCTGTTGAGTTGATAACAGGATGAACCTGAACCAGACATTCCACTGTGCAATTAATTATTTCACTCCACCGTCAGGCAGGAGACTTAACTGTTGGAGCGCTTGGAGCTTCGCACACACAGATGCACTTCGCCGAGAGAACGGAGGTCCCAGAGCTGCAGTGTGGGGCTCCCGGGCTCCCACAGGCCACCGTGAGTCATGCGGAGAAAGGGCTTTGGAAGCTGGTGCCTGTTACAGCCTGAAGCCAGCCTGTTTCTGAGCTGGAATGTGAAAGGCAGCTGGCTGTGTCAAAGGGGCAGAGAATAAAGCCGCAGTGTAGAACGAAGACACAATTCAGCACAGAGAAGATGCTATTAAAATGGTTTCTGGCCCTCCGGGAGCTTCTTGTAGAGGGCCCCCTTTTGGAAACAAATGATTCTGTTCCTCTCCTTAAAAGAAAAAAAAAAAAAGAAGAAAAAAGAAAGGAGGTGGGAGTCCCTTTCAGTAAAATGTTACTGGGCTCTTTTTAAACATTCCCATTTGGAGGGCATTAAAGGGAATGTCATAAGGCAGTGGCTATATACTTAGGGGGCATTGTATTGAGTGGCACGATGCAGGCTAACTGCAGCTCTCCACCCTTCGGAGGGAATCCAGTAATCAATCAATCAGCTCCAGTCCCCTGTCGTCTGCGGTGGGCCTCCGGCCCCTTCAGGGAGGTTCCTGCCTTTGCACGAGACAGCTGGGTGAGGCGGTCTGGGGAGAGGAAGAACTTGCCAGTGCATTCCTCCCTGCCCTCCCACTCCCCCTCCCCTGGGGCCTCGCACACAAATATCCCTTTGTGCCTGTGGCCTCCATCCCTCCCAGCATGGCCTGAGCTGGCTTGGAAGCCATTGCCAGAGAGCAGCTCAGCTCCCCGCATCTTCATCTCGCAGCGGCTGTGTGAGCCTCCTGGGAGTCGCGCCCCAGGCTGGCAGGCTCTGAGCAGGCACCCACAGTTCTCAGCTTGGGGCTGGGTGGTGCTGCAGGTGGCTGTCATATCTCATCTGTGGCTGCTGCCTAGGGGCAGGGAGAAGGCAGAAAGGCGCATGAGAAAGGCAGTGAGGACGGCAGAGAGAGCACAGAGCTGGGAGTTGAGTGGCAGCCTTGGCTCCACTGAATTCACTGTATAAGCTTGGGGCGAGTCACTTCACCCCACTGCAGCTCCATCTTCATGGCGAAGTAAGAGGCTGTGGGGATGACAGCCAAGGTCGCTCTCAGGTTCATCTGCCCGTACCTCTCACTAATACCTGACAAGGTAGGACAGGAAACATTGTGTGCCTCCAAGTCACACTGGCCTTGATTTGAATCCTGACCTTCACCAAGTTACAAAATTTCTGTTTTCTTTTGAAAAAAAATTCCGAGTTTCCTGATTCAAATGGGGAATCTGAGATGATGACCAACATGCAATATATTCTTCCAGACATCAGCTTTCCTTATCAGCTGTCGAGTATTGACTGTCAAAAGACAAAGCTACTTAATACAAATCCACGTTAGTCCAAGAGATTTGCAGGTTCTAAAGAAATGTCAGCATTTGCATGTCATTGGTTACCAGTTCTTACATATTTCAGTTTCAGATACAGTATTAAGAATAACAACAACAACAAAAAATCAGGATTGGTTGTAAAATAGATTGTCAACTTTTTTTAAGGTTTATTTTATATTTTTTTTATTTAGGTTTATTTATTTTTGAAAATCAGAGTTACAGAGAGAGAGGGACAGAGAGAGAGAGATCTTCCATCCGCTGGTTCATCCCCCAGATGGCTGCAATGGTTAGGGCTGGATCAGGCTGATGCCAAGATCCAGGAGCTTCATCTGGTTTCCCACGTGGGGCAGGGGCCCAAACATTTAGACCATCTTACCCTGCTATCCCAGGCACATTACCAGGGAGCTGGATCAGCAGTGGAGCAGCCAGGATTTGAATGGGCACCCATATGGAATGCTGGTGTTGCGGGCGGCTGTGCCACAATGCCAGCCTTTCACCTCCCTTCTTTTGTTTTAAGATTTATTAATTTGTTTGAAAATAAATTATAGAAAGAGATGGAGAGACAGAGAGAAAGAGATCTTCTATCCACTGGTCACCCTCTAGATAGGCACCATGGCCAGGACTAAGCCAGACTGACCCAGGAAATGGAAGCTTCATCCAGGTCTCTCATGTGGGCGGCAGGGGTCCAAGTACTTGGACCATATTTCACTGCTTTTCCCAGGCCATTAGCAGGGATCTGGATCAGAAGTGGAGCAGCCGGAACATGAATGGCCACCCATGTGGGATGCCAAAGCTGCAGGTGGCAACCTTACCCACTAACCACAACACTGGCCCCATGGCTGTCAACCTTTTTATTTTTGCTGAGTAGGTTTGTTCAAGCATAATTCTTATCTATTCTTATCATCATTTCAAAATGATAAAGGCTGCTATGACTAATCAATTTTACTGGGAAAGGACCCTTGTGAAACTGGCTCACACATGTATTTTTATTAGATGTAAAATGTGCAAGGACTGTGTCCTTCCTTTTCCTCCCCATCTCTCCCATTCTGCTACCAAGCTGGGGCTGGTCTTGGGAAACCCTGTGTTCCAGAATAAATGCAGCTCATCTGTGTACCTGCCTGTGTATGTGTAAATTATTTAACATTAAACTCCGTTTCCCCCTTTCATTCTTCTTTCAAATCTCTGCATTCCCGTGTCCACAAACACACAGCTCTTTATACACAATCTACCCTGAAATTTCCAGAAGTGAGCAAAACACTGTGCAAGCGTCAGAGACTTCCCTCTGACCTTTCCTCTCCCCCTTGAATAGAGTCGGCAAAGGCTGCTCCTCCCCTTTCCTCCTTCGTCCAGATCACACTAAGCGCAATTCTAGCACATGGACCCCTCCCTTCCATTGGCCTCCTCCACGTCCCGGGACTGCCCTGCTGCCCTGATCTGTCTGGGCAGAGTGGGAGGTATGGAGAACAAAGGCGACCTCGTCCCTTCCTGTAGTCGCTTAGCATGGGGCATCTTGGGGAGCTCACCACCCTCTCTTATTGTCAACAACAACTTCTTATCAGAAAAGCGTTGGGTCTGTCAATTTGTCCCCTCAGTCCTTTCCCTCCTGGTAGCAGGCAGGAGAATTCCGGGCTCAGCGACGCCTGCTCCCTCAGAACCTTTCATTAGCTGGGAATCTGGGCCACGGCCCCTCAGTGGAGTCAGGGGCTAATCAGGCAGGCGTAGCCTGGGACGCTGGAAAACCCTCCACCTCCTACTGATCTGAGAGCTCACACTGTGGTCTCACGTATTGTGAATTATGGAAATGCCAGACACGCCCACAGTTAAATATAAGCACCAAGAAGCTGTTGAATGCCAAGTGTAAGTAACTTTGGAATGTTCTCTGCATCCATGCTGCCTCACACACTTGCTTCCGTGAGCGCTAGCGTAAAGGAGCTCGTGCTACATTGCTCTGCGCTCGGCTGGCCTGTTTCTGGTCTGTTCCGTGAACCAAGGTTGCTGGGATCACACTTACCCTGCAGGGGCCGTGACCTTCCTTGTAGACATATTTATTCTCCTTGGGAGGCCTCTCCATGGTCTGAAAGGAACACACAGAAAATCCATTAGGCCCAATATCAAATCTCTTTCTGGGGTAATAGATGTCAGGCTACTTGTGGAGATCTGAGTCAGGAGTCTGACCCCTCCTGGAGCTGAGAGTGTGACTGAGCTCAATGGTGCAGCTGGCTAGCCACACAGACATTCAGCCCGGCGCCACCTCCCTGCTCATCTGGACTCAGGCCGACAATAGGCAGATGGCAGCAGTGCATGGAGGGTGGCCCGGCTCTCCTCTCCGCTCCTCTCCCCCCGGCTCTGGCAAGGAGCTGTGGAGGAAGGCTGCCAGGATGTGGGGTAGGTCTCTGCACTGGGCCTTTCAGCTCAGCTTTCTCTTTCCTGGGCTTGCGCATCTCTTTTTGAAGTGATTTGGACCCTGAAGCACAATGGAGCTTGTTTTTCATTTGCAAGGCCTCAGTTCCTGCAAGAAGCTTGTTAAGTGTGAAGAGGCACGCTCCCTCTTCATGTGGTCTGCAGTTCTCATGTTTGACTCATTTTTGATGTGGCGGCTGCAGCCAATGAAAGCCACCCCAGCCGCAGTTCAAAGTTATAAACGGAGAGGTTTTGGTCTCTGTCTTCAACATTTCCTCTCTTTGACGTCTCTGTGGGGCCGAGAATGTCATTTCCTCAGTCGCTCCCAGACGCTTCTGCTCTCATTACGTTGTGTCCTTTGCTCATTAATGAGGGCAGTGGGATGCGTGGGATGGGAGCTGGGGCATCAGGGGCATGTGGCCCCCTTCCCCGGCCACCTGCCCTCCAGAGTGCAGATAAGGTGTCAGGAACTGTGCTA